AACAATCATACATATTTAATAGACTTCTTTCCACTGCAGGATGCGGCTGTTAAGCAGAGAGTGAGTATAGTGGCTATGAATATAGCTTGTGTTCAGGTCTTCACGCGCCCTTATTCTGTGAGATTGTTTATAAGTTTATATTTTAAATAATAATCTAAACTTAAAAAAAAAACAACTATTACTGATTATAATAACTGAAATGCTGAGATATAGGCCTACTTTTTTTAAAAACAAGAAAGCCTTGCAACAAACCTGTAGCTTTTCTGAGTTTAATACAAAACACCATCGATCAACTCCCAGAAGTGCATCCCATTTAATCTTTATTTAATGCGAGATGGATGAAACCTCACAGGTTTGTGGTCCGCTGTCAGAAAGGGAGATTAAATGAACTCCCTTCCTGCAGCAGGCATAAATGAGAGGACTCTCGTGCTGCTTTTGATTTAAAAAAATAAATAAAAATAATGTCCCACAAAGGGAGGTGGGAGAGGACATGTTATGAATACAAAGCCAGAGCAACCTTGCTTGTTTAGTTATGAGTGATATTCTCTTCTCCTCACACTGCTTAGCTGTGACCCACTGTATCAACAATCATGTAAGCTAGACCAGACCTACGTGATGTAATCGTTTTGGTTCTGCTTGTTGCAGCTTTGTCTGTTGGGGTTTGAGGTAATTCTTTGATTTGTTTCATCTCCTGTAAGTACAGATGTCAGACAGCTTGTTTAGTGGTTTACTTTTGTCTGTGGAGATGATTTTTTTCTCATGTGCTAGCAGGATCACTTCAGCTTTTATCTTTGCTATTGACACTTGAATATAGTTGCATTTCTTTTACCCTGAATACTGCCTCTCTCTGAAGGTACCAGTTTTTAGACAGCACGGCGATGCTGTCTTCATCAGCAGTTTTTCATTCTTTTTTTTTTTTTTTTTGCCATAATGGAGTGCCTTTCTACTGGTCAAACAGAGACAGAAGAAAGCCAGAGCAGACACAGAAGGGCTAGCAAACTTTACTTCTGGCTCTGGCTACTATACCCATATGATGCATTATATTTACCTTGGAAGTCTCACAATGGTCCAGTGCGACAAGTCGGAAAACCAAGCTCTAGCCAGGTTACGTATTCTCAACAATCAGTTGATACCAATGCATTACGTGGTATTTTCCACAGTAAACATGTCCACTGATAGAAGCTGGACAGTACTCTGTGTATGACTGATCAAATGAGACACAAAAGACAGAAGTGCTGCTTGCTTGATGCAAGGAGCAAAAGTCCTTTCGGGGTGATCCAGAAGTCAGAATTTGTTCCATTCAGTCCAATAACATTCAGTCTAGATTTGCAAGACGAAATTATGTATCCCTGTTTAAGTTAGCAGAGGGCTAAACTGGAAGTTAGCGGTTCGTCAAGCGGAGTCTCTACTGTATCCAGTATGCATTCATCTGGCTTTGCAGTGCATTTCTTTGCAGTGGGAAGTGGACTTTTTTGGCTACATGTGCCACTGAGCAGCCTTCATAGGAATTAAGTGCTGCCTCCAATGCTATATCCAGGTGTCTTTATATATCCATGCCAGGAGCATGACCAGCACACATTAGATTCTCATGATCTTCTTCTTCTTCTTCTTCTTCTTCTTCTTCTTCTTCTTCTTCTTCTTCTTCTTTTCATTATTATTCTTCAAACAAAATTCGTCCAACAAAGTTGTAGTATACAGTTCATTGTTTGTTAGGTTTTTAATATCTAAGGCAAACAAGTACATTTCCTATATTTCAGCTCTAACAGTAGTATCTCAGGAAGGTTGGATAAATAAGATCATGATATTTTTGGCCACAATAAACTTAGCACATCCCATATTGTGCAGCATGCATAGTTGACTAACCCTCAGCCGTCAGCAGTGGTCTCATGTTGACTTGGTTTTTCTTTTCCTGTGTTTCTACTGTAGCTGGTGGAGACGTCTCTGAAAGGTGAGATCACATTCGACCCGTGCTGTGCCTACTACTTGTGGTTCGTCACGGACTTCTGCGACGGGGGCGACATGAACGCCTACCTTCTGTCCCGCAAGCCCAGCCGCAAGACCAACACCAGCTTCATGCTGCAGCTGGGCAGCGCCCTGGCCTTCCTGCACCGCAACCAGATCATACACCGTGACCTCAAACCGGACAACATCCTCATCTCGCAGGCCTGCACGCCGGCCGGGTCGACCGAGCCCACCCTCAAAGTGGCCGACTTCGGCCTGAGCAAGGTCTGCTCCACCTCCGGCCTGAACCCTGAAGAACCGGCCAGTGTCAACAAGTGCTTCCTGTCCACAGCTTGCGGAACAGACTTCTACATGGCCCCGGAGGTCTGGGAGGGCCACTACACGGCCAAGGCAGATATCTTCGCCCTGGGGGTGATTATCTGGGCCATGGTGGAGCGCATCACCTTTGTGGACGTGGAGACTCAGAAGGAGCTGCTGGGGAGCTACGTGCAGCAGGGCTCAGAGATTGTACCCTTAGGTGAGGCCCTGCTAGAGAACCCAAAGATGGAGCTGCTGATCCCCGCCAGGAAAAAGAGCATGAACAGCCACATGAAGCAGCTGATCAGGGAGATGCTGTCGGCCAACCCTCAGGAAAGGCCCGACGCCTTTGAACTGGAGCTCAGGCTGGTCCGTATCGCCTGCAGAGAGCTGGACTGGGACACGTGATGGACATGAACGGCACCACAGACTCAGCTGATCAAGCACATGTGCACATCTCATCAGCTACTGTTAACCTAGGTGGTCACATAACAGGGGATTATTGTTTTTTTTAACTAGGGAACAATAATTAGAATAGTCATTGTTTGTATCATGGCTTAAACTTCATCCACTGTCCAAGCACATACAGTCCTCTACTAGCTGTGTCTTTATATCGAAGGGGAGAGGTGCGACACCCACCGCTGCTGCTGCTCCAAAACTGCAGCTTAGTCTCAGGCTAATCACATCACAGCTTCCACTTCCTCCTTACAGAATCACTCGAGCGTGATGAAAGAGCAAAGTGACCCCAAAAGTCCTGCATTCAATTAAAAGTGAAAGTCGAAGTGACAGTCAGCACAGTTTATCTACAAATACCATCTTGGACTCGGTGCTAATTGTTACTAAATGCAATATGAGACATTATCCTGTGATCATTACAGCGTACATTAATCCAAAGGGCCAGTCACCTCAATGTGTGGAATGTTTTGAAGCCATTTGTGGCTTCGACAGAACCTGACTTACAAACTGATTTCTGGTACATGATCACCAGCATTGATATAACATCAAGATTTGATTCTGGCATCAAATGCAGACATGCCCTGAATGCTCAGGTAATAAAAACATACAGCATGATGGTATTTGCAGACAAACGATCTACTGACAAGGTCAGTTTTGCTCAGTAGTGTTGGAGGGAAAAAAATACCAAACTTTGGTGCTTGAAGATAACGTTATGTTTTGTTTTTTTTGTTCTTTTTTGAAGGCTGCTTCGTTGGTTGTGTGGGTGGGGGACATTTTATCAGTAAGTGTCCAGCCAGCAGGTCCTTGTGGTTGGTCTTTCCTCTTTCTGCCCATTACTGACTTTATGATAAATTGACTGGTCCCATACCAACCAGTATGACAGAATGTATAACGATCAAGACAGGTCAAACTTATTTATATAGAGCCTTAAACACAGAAACACTTAATTTTAATGACCCAGCGCTTCACAGAATTAATGAGCAAGAGAGCCTAAAGGATAATTCTGGTTTATGGTTTTGCAACTCGGGTCTTACTTTTATGGTTTTGGTCATAATAACATTGTACTCACCAAGTTAATCGACTGTTCGCTAAACCCTGCCCACCTGAGCTACTGTTGCTATGTCTGTCAAGCTTTCCAGCATGGCTTTATGCAAGGTTACAGTGATAAACGGGGCAGATTTACCTCTCGAGATTTGTGGTAATTTATGAAACATTTGACTGGATTTTGGACCATTTTTGACATTTTGTGGACCCAACGATTAATTGAGTAAGGAATCAAAAGAAAGGTGCAGTAAATTATATTATTTTTGTTGAAATAAGTGTCAGTGTGGTGACAAAGGGAGGAGGGAGGGGACTGCTGACTGCAATACCAGGCAGGAAGTTAGCCAAAATGCAGATTTCACTCACACCTTTAAACGATAATAAACAATGAGATGATGTTGTAAATGTATTGTGATAGAAATACATAAAATGTAACTTAAACGCACAACACAAAGGTTGAATTTATGCTTTACAGCAAGTACAAATGAAACAAAGAACGGCACAGACATTGGTGTAACCATAAACTCTGATATTGGAGCATGTGTGAGCGATGCTACACTGGCTGCCACTCAGTGAATGTGCCTGAGCAGGGCCTTTTCCTGTACCTGGAAAACCACATAAACATGTACTTAGCTAATAGCATTGATTAGTTTATCAATGCTGTGAAACGTGGCATTTGTCCATGTATTCTTGTGCCTGTGAAAATGAAAAAGTTATTAGACGCTAACTGACCTTAGAAATAACGTAATGCTTAGTCACTACTGTGTAGTAGGTGGAGGAGAAAACAGCAGTGTACAGCAACTGTTGTACACGTCCAGCTCAGTTTATAGACTGAACTCCTGGTTCAACTTTGAACTACCAAAATTAGATGTCCTCACTCAGTTGTTCTCTGCAGTGAGGGGTTATTACCAATATTTCAGGTGCCCTCCCTTTCAGTTTACCTCCAAATAAAGTGGTTTAGATCATCTGGATAAACCATATGGCTTGGTGTTTCTTGCCCCATTTGACATCACTGTGGCAATGTCACCGTGTTCCAAGATCTCAGGCGAGCAAAGTGTTATCTTAACCAAAGGAAATATTATCCCAAACTGTGAAAATAAAACCCAAGTTGCAACGAACCAGAGTTGTCCTTGAACAAGAAAATTCAAACAACCGAGCACACTACAATAAAGCAGACAGGCCTACGTTCAAAAGACTTGTGGAGCGACTCCCCCACACATGGCAAACAAATCTTCTCTTGAGAGAAATCCCCATGTTGCCTAAATGTAGATTTTTTTTATTAATTATCTGAAGGGTGAGCTGCGTGTTTTACAAGAGCGGTGACATGAATATTCACATCTGGGTCCATTTAGACAAGAGACCTGAATGAGTAAAAGGGGTGAGGGGATTCAGTGAATCTCACTGAAAGGCACTTTTATTTTTCTGTTTATATTTATTCCTCATAAAGACCTACTGCATTATATAGGGGAGCTCTGTGAGGCTGGATTCAGTGCGATAACTGCTTCGGTATTTGTTTACCGGGCGAGCACAATGTCAGCCAGCAGTCTACTTATGCATGCAGTGTCTCTCACCTTCAGGGAAGAAGCAAGAGAAGACACCAGCACACTCAATCCTCCATGAGCCAGAGGATCTCTGCTTTTAAAAAAAAAAAAAACATAATACTGTTGTATTTAACTTGATCTCCTCTCACTGTGTCACTGCTGCTCCTTTCCTTTGGCTCTGGATCTTACAGTAATCCCCTTCTTCATGCTTCCGACAGGCTAATTCTAAGCCTATTAAGTTGTTGCAGCACTTGGCAGAGGATCATGCTCGGGACCCCTTTTGCCTTTCAGGTCATACATAATTTGTGCACTTTTACAGGAACCTATAAAACCAAACAATCCTGGCTTCTTCGCTGCTCTCAGAACTCTGGCGGAAAATCAAATTTCCTTTTGACTTGTTGCCAATATTTATCTGCTATATGGCCTTTAATTCTTCCCTCAGCTCTAATAGTTTTATTTCCTATCAAGATGGGATTGAGATTTGCCTAATTTTGTAGAAAATTGTTGATTTTTCTTTCTATTGTGGCTTCAGTGATATTGCACTCAAACACAAGAATTGGCAGACATGCTTGAGTTGCTTCACGTTTCACCGACTCAGCGTGGTGCTTTGGTATGAAAAGCAATCCCACAAATCAGTATTAAAAACGCCTGTCTGTACTGCAGGACATCGATGCTGCTTTGGACAATGTTGCTTCGCTTCAAGAATGTTGTATTTGTGGCTTTTTGTTCACGAGCATCAAAGTTTGGACTCAAAAGTAGGTCACCCATATCCTCAGAGCTCTAAGCAGAGCAGAGGATGATGGGTAGAGTCATTTCCGGCCAGATTTCTTCCTTCAAGCCTTCTAGACGTGAGTGGGGGGAGGAGGAAGACATTTGGCTTCCTGTGAGGTTTGAGATGTTTGCCAAACAAATGCTACGTCTGGGGTATTAAGAGATTTCACCCTTTGATTTGTCGTATTAAATTCCTTTGCACATGTGTAAATACTGTATAGGATCAACAGGGGACGAACAAGGTTGATGTACATTTGACTGGATGTGCTCTGTTTTCAAGAGCCAGAATTGTTTGACATGTAAATTGCTGTGATGGATTCAACTTTACTTCAGCTCTTAATTCAGCTTCAGTTCACTTCAATCATGGAAAAGATGTGATATATTTACAGGTCAATACTGTCCGTGTGCTAGTGATAATTGTATGTTTTTCATTGGCCTGTTTGTGATTTTGTGTAAGCAAAGCTGGTATACAACGTGGGTCAAATCCAGTCGTCTTTTCTGTCTGGTACCGGGCTATTTGGAAGTAGAACAGTTCTTTGGAACTCTGGGACATCAGTCAGACCTCGACTGTACTAGCCCTGATCCAGAACCTCCGTACAATGTACCACCGTACTGCTTTGCCATCTCCCAGAACTCAGACATTTCAGTTGATGACATTCAACATTCTGTTGATGACACATTCTTGATTAAAATGGTTTCCGAAAACTGGTGGAAATGTGGACTAGTTGGCTAGGTAGCACCAAAAATCTTGAACAGAACCGGTTGAAGAACCAGAGCTAATTTTGCAGGAAAAACACTGAGTGACTCGTAGAAATTGTTATGGGAAGAATGTTGAGAATAAGAATATTTTCAGAGACCAGATGGACAAAAAAACACAAGGCAGGTTCAGAACAAAAAATGCCACTGGTTGCTTGTTATAACCTTGATAGGCAGAAATATCTAAGTTCCAGGAGATACTGATGCAGGACTGTGATACCTAAGGAGTCCTGGATCAGGGTTACACTTAACATAAAACAATGTCCTGTGTCAGATGAAGAACACACTGGGAATCATGTCAAATAAAAGATCCACACTTGCAACCAGGCAAACTTCTGCTCTCACACTTTTGTATGAACAATTTTTTGCTCTTATGTCATTTTGAAGAGATTAAATGAAGTTTATCAAAAGTTGTGTGAACACCTGTCAATCACTGTTGAATTGATGGTTTTTTTAATAAAATGAATTGAAATATTAACTGAATTGCTTTAAAGAAATGAAGCATGCGAATGGTTTTACAACTGAGTTTTGTCTTTGGTCCTGCAATGCAACACTGGTGATTGCTGTAATTCAATTCACCTGACTGCCTGGACTTAAAGAAGCTGCCAGCGAAGGTAGTTTTTGGTCCTACATTTCTGAAGAATACATGTAGCTGCCCACGTGACAGTTTAATTTGAACATATTTTGTCATGTGGAACCAAGGTAAGTCAGCATTACAAAAAAAAAGCTTGGAATTCCTTTTATGTCTTAATGCGGTTTGCATATTTTGCTTCTACACAGCTTGTAGTCAGTCCCCTGGTGGGATGACCCGCCACAAAGCAGGGATATCAAAGGTGCGTCTATCTTCTGTTGATAAATGCAATGGAAGCCTCTGAAGAAAATGTGTGACTGTAATGGATTCCTTCACCCTGATTTCTCCAGAGGGCAACTCTTCAGATTTTGCCCTGCACAGTGTCTCAGCTGCTGTCTGCTTCTCAAGTCAGCAACGATACCTTCACCATGTGCGACTGGGAACTGAACCAGGTACGAGTAGCAATTCTACACCACTGTATATCACTGTGTAGTCATGCATAGGCCTGAGGTATAGACTTAAGTCAGGAATGTGCTGACAGTACACCTGACAACATTTTTAAAGAGTCTTGCAAGTCAACTTAACCACCAATGACTTTTATCTTAACTTGGACTTGAAGGACTTGGTATCCTCCCAAAGATCAGTCTACAGCCATGCTTGTGACTGAAAATCAGCATGCTAACATGATTCTTGTGATGACAATGTGTTTACCATGTTCACCATCTTAGTTTAGCATGTTAGCATGCTAACATTTAGCACTTAACACAAATGATGAGGCTGAATTTGGTCATAATCAAAGTACTGGACAGGTTGAAATGTTGAAGTACTACAAGAACACTATATTATGAAATATTTCCATTACCAACATAATTAGAAAAAACAAAAAACAAATCAAGTCTTATCTGTTTTTATGCATTTTCGGGCACCTTTGCCAGTATTTTGCACCTAACGCAATACATTTTTAAAATATAATTGTGTGTTTTTAGTTGTATATGATGATGACGACGACGACGAAAATCAGACAATTAAAATCATACAGAAGTGAAGCAGAATTAAAAAATAAAAATAAAATAAAAGGTAGAAGATGAAACATTGCAAAATGAACCCCACTGGGGCAAATAATTTAAACTGTTAAAAACATACAAATTAAAGAATAGAATACCACACCTAGCTAATTTATGATAAGAACAATAATACTAATAAAATATTTGACAGTGTGATAGAATAAATTAAAGCATGGTCACCTTTGGTCCTGAGCCTGGACTCAGGAATATTCAGGAATATTGTTTAAACTGATATAAAACAACAAAAAAAATCTTACAGGCCAGATTACATTTTTGACATCATGTCGCAAATTCATTGACAATCCATCAAATAATTGTCCAGATGTTTCACTAAAAACCACCATGAGGTTGGCATTTGATGAAAAGTCAGAAGTACTTCCTCTAGGAATCATGCCTGTCTGTACACAGTGTGTTACTTCATGCAGTCCAGTGGTGTCAAGGACCCCCAACTGATAAACATAAGGCAGCAGACCTGTATCTGATAAGATAATGTCTATACTGCAGATTAAAAGTGAAGAGAGTGAAACTATAACAGAACAGATTCATTCTGATCACCTTCTATTGATCTCAATTTGTATAGTCCATGAACATAATAGTGAAATTAATATAGCCTGGGGACCCCCCTGGAACATTGTTAAGGACCCCTAGTTGAGAGCCACTGAACTAGTAGGCCTAGATGTCAAACCATTTTACTGAATAATAGTTAGAGATATAGAGATATTTAAATGAGGACCAAAGTGATGGACTGACTGA